TTTCCTTCTCCAACTTATATCTAAATCAATGGGCTTAAAAACATCAACAATTTTGTTAACCACTTAGCAATAACTAAACCCGGCGCTGCATTTTTTTATTTTATTTTTTTATCATCAAAGTGTTTAGGCTAGCTTACGCATACCTCGACTCATCATTCGGGACCTTGAAACTATCAATTGGATACAAGCTTCAATGGTCACCCCTATTAGCAGCCGTAAGGACTTAAACTTGAGAGAACATATAAATTTAAATATTTTTTTATTCTTTTATCATTAGGTCACTCAATAGTGGTTAACTAAATATAGTATTGCACGGGTCGATACGCACACTCCTTAGTATCCATTGTTTAGGACTAGGGCTCTTGGTGTTGGTGTATTTAATCTCAGTAGAGTCTCAGCCTAGCTAGTTGAGTGTTTTTACTGTCGATTTTTCTTTTATCTTCACTCATTTTACTTCTCCACTGGAAATTTTCTCTACCTCTACTGTACTTCAGCTTGGTAGTTTCAATCGTCTGTTCAAGGTTGAGCCCTGGGATTTAACAAAGATTTTCGACAATAAAAAATTGCGATTTGATTTTAAATGGAACATGGTCTAGGTAACTTTCTATAGTGGGAGAATTTGAGCAACAAGTCTCCCACTTAAAAAGTTGATCAAGTGGAAATGGTTCTCCCTGTAGACTAATTCTGGCATAAGAAAAACAACTTCCCGCTGACTGTTTTCTATGTACTAAACAAATTAAAAAAGACTTGGCAAATAAAGACCTAACCTTTATACAATCACATCTATATCCAAACTGCTTTTTATTCAAGTAATTCATTAATCAAACTCAGTAATCATGATTATTCATTAACCCTCTTTGTTTACATCCCAGGAAGATCACATCCCTGGTCTCTCCACCTAACATAATTCCACACGTGAATACCATTTTTCATCAACTTAATTAATTAATTAACTTGTTTATCAATTAATCCTTTATGTAATAATTAATATGATCATGAAGTGCTGACTAAAAAGATAAAGTTCTATTGAGTTCTCACCAAAATTAACCAAACTCCATCTGGGTTTATAATTTAACTCATCAGGATCAGGCTATGCTATTTCAATTAACTCAATAGAAGAAAATTGATTTCGAACTGATCATAAAGATTTTCTTTTAGATCTTAATTAAAAAATGAAGATGACTTTTTTATTATAGAAAAATTAATAATAAAAATTGTAGGATTCTTCTAGTAATGCAAGAGCAATTCAGTATTTTTTTTTTTTTTTTTCTTCCTCTCTAGAAGAATATGGATATAAAATAGTTGGTTGAGTGAATTTAATCAAAATAATCATATGTTAATTTGTTAGTCAAGCTGAAGATAAAATAAAAAAATAAAAAATCATATAATAAATTCTGATGTGATTAGAAGCATTAGTAGTGGATCAATTCCAAAATCCATCATTTTTTATTGGCATATTATTTCACATAATTCACATTATACTTAGCTAGTGATGTAATCTATAAGAAAAAAAAAATAATAATAAATTAATAATAATAACAATAATAGTAAAAAAATAAATAAAACCATCTTAATATATACTTCTTCTAAGTTTCCCAATAACATAAAAAACCATCTTAATATATACTTCTTCTAAGTTTCCCAATAACATAAGTACATCTATTTCTATACAAAAGAGAAGAACTGGTTTAAAATAATACTATATAAAATGATAATCAATCTAATTTGATTAAAAAAAATATGGTTATCAATGTGTTAATTTGAGATATAATTTTAGACTAACTTGTCTAAAAAAGGATTTTATGTCCCATAATAATAATAATTTTTTTTTTTTTTTTTTTATGACTAGAGTTGTCTAGGCCAGTTTTTATGCATACTTCAATTAATCTCTCGAAATCCTAAAATTATCGGCCAAGTAAGAACTTCAATGGTTACCTTTATTAGCAACCAATGAGAAATTTGAACTCAAGACCTCTTGAGTAATTGGCACTAAAGAGTCTCTATATGCACCCAAAGGTAGTTAATGTCCCATAATATTATTTTGGACAGATATGTATATTTATAAAAGACTATAAGGAAAATAGAGAGAATATATTTGGCATAAAATTCTAAGAAAAATATGTGCACCTTACCGTATAAATACAATATTATGAATGATAATACACATAATTAGGAAAAGTTGATATGGATCAGATAAGTATTGACTTTTACACAATAAATCCATCTTAAGAATTAGGAGAGACAATAAAATTTTCTTTGAAAGAACGTTTGTACTAAATTTACAAGTCGAAATATTCAGTTTGCATCATATATATATATATAGTGTCATCCTACTGACATCAGTTTATGAAAGTCACCATCTAAATTAACCATCAATCCATGATAAATGATAGATTAATTGACCTTCAGCTGCCTATTTTTCCAATGGACTGAAGGGTCATGGAGAGGAATCTCAAATAAAGAAGCCATGAAAACTAACTAAATCTTCATTTATGTATATATACAATACAAGGGTCATTTTTACATATAGGATATATACTTTGCTTAGATTCTAATTCATTTTTATTTGTACAGCACACAATACAACAGGACCTAAAACTCAGTTTTAAAGAATATATATATATATATATTGATTCCATTTGTTGCCAATATGCAATACAACTTTATTCTTAAGGTAAGACATTCCCATTACTTTGCTGGCCAATTGAATGGAATCCAGGATTTGTATATATTGTAAAGCTTAGTTAGAAGGTCACTAAACGCATTCTTCAGATTCACGACTTCAACAAGAATCAGATTGTTTTGTTCTAGACTTTTCACATTCACCAAATAATGAAAATCAGTTCATATTCTTCATTTTACTTTAAAAGGGTAGTTAATTATTCGCAAACAAAGTAAATATCCCACCATTAAAGATTCCTAATCCAGAAAAAGTCTGCATAATATCTTCTAAGAAGTTTCAGGGAAATATGTTTTTCAGTACATGGATTAAGGCAGGCAAAGGAGCAGTGAAGTCTAATCACATCAAATGTACAGTGATATTAACAGAAGCATAAATATAATATTCTAACCACATACAAATTGTGTAGATTATTGTGTCATTGTGATGAGATGCAAAATCAAACTAAACTTTTTTTATTTGATATGACTTGTGTTTTTGGAATTTATTGAATGGGGCCATCAACTGGAACATATTGGATTTGATTTTATTCCCCAGTATCTTTTAGTTTCAACACTTCACCTTCTCCTATAAATATCTATCGGAATCTGACCTTCTGTGGCCATCCTGGAAACTTTTCGTGAATGATTTGTCTGTGTCTAATATTAATTGTCTTTCATGGCGGAGCCAACTGGATACATATCATTTAACAGAAAACTATCAACCCTACTAAACTCTTACTCGAGACAGATTGATGAACTTCAACTTAGGTCAATTTCTATCAACTTCACAGAGAAAATTCATTAACGACAGTGTGAATATTTAAGTTTGGAGAAGGTAGTGGAAATACTCAAGATTTCAAATATTAATGTCTCCCACTAAAGGAAAGATGATGTGGAAATACACTTTCCATTAGACTAAATTGCCTTCAACTTTCAGAAACCATCTTTTCACTTACCCTTCTGTCCCTTCTACACTTACTTTCAAAATTTTCCTTCTTCTCCCATTACTAACAGTGTTTAAACACAATACCGAGACGCCACGTCTTAAATAAATATAATATAATAAAACACACCCCTTGCGTCAAAGATTGTTGGCTAATACTACCATATTATATCAAATAGAAGACCCCAAGACAGTGCCTGGTAATGATAATTGAAGACTTTTAAGTGACTTAGAAAGGCAAGTCAGCTTATTTTACGGCTATGAGGTTTTTCTCTAGAAGCTTTTCAATATTCAAAATGTATATATCCTTAATTTGTTGTTATTATGATTGATTATGCAATTGTGTGGTAACTTTGCATCATTAGAACATGTTGCATCAATTAGGGGAGAATTCATAAATCACAAGAAGTCAATGATTTAACTAAGGTGACATCCTCACCAAGTCATTTTGATGTTTGGTTAATGAGTTAACAACTTTTTCCCTCCCAAATAATAGTTTAATGACACTTTTCCATTCACGGACTTTTAAAATACCATTTTACTATCCAAATTTATATTCCAATAGCGAACAGAGAGCATGCTTGGTTCAGACTATTGACATTTTTTAAGAGGAAATGTTGATGAGTTTTTTGGTGATGAAATGTTAAATTTTTGTTGTTGGGATTGATCAGAATTTGACTTTGGAGAGGTTGTTGTGTAATCCTTAATCGCTCAATTGTCGACGATTTGTGAGGTTGGCGACAATAGGGTTTAAGGGGTTTTGGTGAGTGATAATTGGGAAAGAGAATGGTGATGGAGTGGGGTCGTAACGATACCGAAATCGGAAACGGAATATAAATTTGGATAATAAAGTGGTATTTTAAAAATCTGTGGATGAAAAAGTGTGATTAAACCATTATTCGGGTTGGAAAAAATCGTTTACTCTTTGGTTAATTGTTATTAGCTGCAAGCAAATAAAAGAATTAAGGGAGAAGAATGAATAATAGATGTGGCCGCAATTCAAATATATATTGATGATTATCTGATATAATTGAAATTGACAGCCAACTAACAGAAGATAGAACTGTTCAGCAAGTCAAGAGGGCACTGACCTATGTGGTCCTCTTCGTTGGTCTCTTTCCATTTCTTTCCCTACAGAGACGTCAATGAAATTATTAATGGACTTGTTTATTACTCTCCTTCCTTGTTTAATTCATTAGGATGTGTTTGGAGGCAACAACTTTAAGATGCAAGCGTTTATTACTTTCTCTTTGATTTTTACCTTCTACCACCATTTTACTGGGATTAAAAACTAAAAGATTTTTGAGTTAAATGATTGGAAATTGGTGTAAACAACTGTCATCTGAACTGGAAGAAATTAAAGATGATGAGTAATTCTTTTGTTAAGCTTAGTAGGAATATTAATTAGTCACTGTGACATTCTCCTTTAATTTCTCTCCAAGAAATCTTTTCATACTCAGAAACAATTTACATATTCCCGCAAACGGCAAGCGTACCAATTACAAGGCCTAAACTAAGAGAATTAACAGAGAAAAAGAAAGAAAGAAAGAAAAATATGAAGCGGTTTGAGTTAAGCTATTGGGTGGAGTTGAGTTAGAGTTTGGTGACAAGTGCAAGCTGAGGCTGCTGCAGGCTTCGCCAAGTATGTCGGATTATCATCACCAGCCATGATGACAACAATCTTCGGCTCCATCTCCAACTGCATATCCACTACTTGCTTCGCTGATTTTTCTTCACCTTGATCACGTTCACCGCCTGACGAATTCGTCGCAGATTTTCGACAAGAGCAAGCGAGAATCGTCAAAGCAATGGCAATGAGCCCCAGCATGAGTCCCAACCCACCAAAAAGATAAGGTACCGGAGAGTTCCAATGCCCCAATCCGCCATTAAAACCACCAGAAGTTGAGTTGTTTGCAGGTGGCCTCATGATTCCGAAAAGTTTAATGAACTTGGAAGAAGTGCAAGTTTAGGTGGTTGAAAATATTAGTATTTATAGCAGAAAGTTGAAGATACACAGTGGAAGGATTAGGACAAAAGAAAGAGAGATTGCTTTATGGCAAAATTATAATTGAGATACCAAATTGCCCTTTGTTTTGAACAAAGGGGTGATTCTTTCTTGGGCAATACTTATACTAAGAGATCGAATTGCTTGATTTAGACGTTTCTTTGTTTAATTGGACCCCATGTATTAATCAGCTGTAAACATATATTTGTTTATAGCTAGAATCCACTTGACATCTATTAGTCCATTTTGAGTTGTGCTTTGGAATATACCTATATATAATAATAAAGATCGGCTCACAACTCAATCTTACAAACTTTATTTCATAATCCCGTTATGACAGTTCATAATTAGTCAGTTTGTAATTGAGCAGACGGGACCTGTTTACAAACTGACCAATTATGAGCTATCAGATCGAGGTTGTAAGACAAAGCTTGTAAGATTAGGTTGTAAATATAGTATTATATATATATATATATGGAAACTTTATCTTATAAATGAAATTATAGGTGGGAATGGGTAGTATAGTAAATTTGATAGGGTGGAAATTCATGTTCCATTGATGAAGCAACCAACAATGGGAAGAGTTTTAAATGTGAATCATGCAATTCCCATAACCTTACATTGTAAAAGGGTTTGGTTTATCCAAATTATAAGACCCCACAAAACGTGTCCTTTTTGTTCAAGTATTCCTCAATTTTCCTTCATCATACATCAATTAATTCCTTGGAAATATTCTTTCGTTTTTAAGGGATTTCCCGTAATCTTAGGCAAAACCGCTTCATATAATTTAACTTGTAGGACTTGTTTGAGGAAAAATATTGCAACTGTGCACACAATTTAAGCCATAAAAAGAGATGGCACATTAATTACGTTGATTGTGAAACATAACTATGAAATTAAAAGGCGTCTAAACAAGTCATCTTATGGATTAAAATATGGAAAGAATAAAGGTGTTTGGGTCAGTTTACTTGCACATCAACTAATCTTTTAGGACCCTGAAACTACCGATCAGGTAAGAGTTCTAATAGCTACCCCTATTAGCAACTGAGGAGGGACTTGAACTGAGGACCTCTTGAGTAATACACTCATGAGTCATTATCGAACCACTTGATCACCCAGAGATAGTTTACAAGTAATATATTTGTGCTGGTCTAGTTTTTGATGTTAATATTAATGGAGGTAGATTTGCAAACCCAATTTTTTTGAACGTTGGAAAGTGGTTCTATAAAAATAAGGTTTAATTATTTAAGCACGTTTAATTAGAGAAAAGTGATATGGAATAAAAGTATTTCTTACAAAGAATATGATATCAGCTAGTTTAGCCGGTGAGTCTCCTACTCTCAGTTATGATAATAACTATTTTTTAACTCGTATGGGTGTGGATGCTCCATGAATGTAAAGAGAATCGAAGAAGAAACAATATTTTGAACTTTGGAATAAATCCAAGAAGTAATTAAATCGGATAAGATATTGACATTTATCCAACTATCACATACAGACAGTATTTATTAATCAATAAGCTAAAGCCTGAAACCCCTATGAAACCGATGGAATTGAATTTCTTGTATATTTTCACATTGTTATGCTTGACAACTACATCAACATAATAATGCATGGCTTACTACAATGTTTACATCATCACAGGGCAATGGGTTCGTAGCCCAAATTTTGCTTCGGTTAAGCCCAGCTCACTTAAACTTCAGTTAGATATTACAAAGTCCAAGCCCAGCCCTTTAGATAAGCAATGGCCTGACCTTATCCAACTCAGTCCATTGAAAGTTATAGTCGTCATATCATGAGACAAAGTGGGGGTCGATTGAGGGAGAGTGAGTAATAGAGCCAACAAATTTCGGGCTTTTCAGCTTTTAACTTGCCCCAATTCTCGTGCATTAATAATATTATGATCCCATGGGTTAGGCTTTTGAGTTTATATAAGAGTTGGTTGGTAGAATCATCAAATAGACTTNAGCCATAAAAAGAGATGGCACATTAATTACGTTGATTGTGAAACATAACTATGAAATTAAAAGGCGTCTAAACAAGTCATCTTATGGATTAAAATATGGAAAGAATAAAGGTGTTTGGGTCAGTTTACTTGCACATCAACTAATCTTTTAGGACCCTGAAACTACCGATCAGGTAAGAGTTCTAATAGCTACCCCTATTAGCAACTGAGGAGGGACTTGAACTGAGGACCTCTTGAGTAATACACTCATGAGTCATTATCGAACCACTTGATCACCCAGAGATAGTTTACAAGTAATATATTTGTGCTGGTCTAGTTTTTGATGTTAATATTAATGGAGGTAGATTTGCAAACCCAATTTTTTTGAACGTTGGAAAGTGGTTCTATAAAAATAAGGTTTAATTATTTAAGCACGTTTAATTAGAGAAAAGTGATATGGAATAAAAGTATTTCTTACAAAGAATATGATATCAGCTAGTTTAGCCGGTGAGTCTCCTACTCTCAGTTATGATAATAACTATTTTTTAACTCGTATGGGTGTGGATGCTCCATGAATGTAAAGAGAATCGAAGAAGAAACAATATTTTGAACTTTGGAATAAATCCAAGAAGTAATTAAATCGGATAAGATATTGACATTTATCCAACTATCACATACAGACAGTATTTATTAATCAATAAGCTAAAGCCTGAAACCCCTATGAAACCGATGGAATTGAATTTCTTGTATATTTTCACATTGTTATGCTTGACAACTACATCAACATAATAATGCATGGCTTACTACAATGTTTACATCATCACAGGGCAATGGGTTCGTAGCCCAAATTTTGCTTCGGTTAAGCCCAGCTCACTTAAACTTCAGTTAGATATTACAAAGTCCAAGCCCAGCCCTTTAGATAAGCAATGGCCTGACCTTATCCAACTCAGTCCATTGAAAGTTATAGTCGTCATATCATGAGACAAAGTGGGGGTCGATTGAGGGAGAGTGAGTAATAGAGCCAACAAATTTCGGGCTTTTCAGCTTTTAACTTGCCCCAATTCTCGTGCATTAATAATATTATGATCCCATGGGTTAGGCTTTTGAGTTTATATAAGAGTTGGTTGGTAGAATCATCAAATAGACTTTTAGTTTTCAATAAAAATTGGTTCACAACCAAATTTTATAAACTATTTCTCACAACTTTGACTTATCAGTTTGCAATTAGATAGGCAGGATTTAGTGCGAACTACCACATCGGGGTTGTGAGAGAAAGTTTATGAGATTGGGTTGTAAGTGCAGGATTATTCTTTAGTTTTTTGGGTTATTAAACACCTTTTGACTTATGAACCCTTAGAATCGACTAAAGATGGGTCAAGCGAACTAGTGATAGTGTCAAACGTTACAAAGGCACAAATTGATTAATTAGAAAGTGTTCGTTCCGTAATAATGGACAAAGTGTGTCCATCTAGTGATAGTGTCAATCATCACAGGGGTACCCATTGATTAGTTAGGAAGTGTTTGTCCCGTGATAATGGATAGAGTGTGTTTGTCTAGTGATAGTGTCAATCATGACCAGGGCACGCATTGACTAACTAGGAGATTTCCAACCTGTGACAATAGATAGAGTGTCATATTAGATTTTCAGTTGACTTAGATATACACATCATTTATTTTTAAGCCCATATACAATACTTAAAAATATATAAATTTCTTTAGTCTCATAGATAACTTGAGCAACTCTAACCTTTTGAGAGAATTGTCATTTGATTAAATTCTCATGAATTGACTCTAGCCTAATGTATGTCAGTTTAATAAAAACCAAGATTAATGTTTAGAATTAGAAGGGAGGTGGTGAAGTGATGGAATACATGAAAAGGTGGGAAGAGCAACAAGTGCTGCAGGTTGACGAGCAGAAATAGAAGCTGTCGTTTAAGGAATTTCTTGATTGAAAAAGCACTTTTTTTGGCACTGGGACATAACCCTGAAATGAAGTAGGTAAGAATCTTTCATATAAAACGAGTGAAGAGAAAGACTGATGCTCAAGAGCGTATGAAATTGCAGAAAGTGACATTCTGAGGGCCCAATTCCCAAAGGATCCTTTGGTCGCTTCTGCAAAAGGTAATTGAAGTAGTACTTGACAGACTTATCTTAAGCATCTCCCCTTTTATGAACTATAATCCAACTTTCTCTATTCATATATATGCTTCCATGACTTGCAACTTTTTGTGGCTGCTATTGCACTTTGTTCTTCCCTATCCTTCTTAAAAAAGTGCAAAGTGTTAGCTTGAAAAAAACCCTTTCCCACTTGTGCATTTACACTTTATCCTCGTCATCGATCATCTATAAAAAATTACAATTTATGTTTCTGCTATATATTATTTCACATTGTAGAAGATTTTGCTGTGTATGGGAATGAGCTATTCTAATGTTTTTGCTATTTTCTGACAACATATTGTAAGAGAGATTGTTGCAATTCAATGAGCATACATTATAAGTTGACATCCATCCTACCTAAAAGTTTAAGCTAATAGATGAGGGTTCAACATCATATTAGTCCAACTCTCACATGAAAATCATACTATTTTTCATTTTTTCTAATCCAATTAAATATGGGAATTCGAACTTTAGACCTTTGACTCTGATACTGTGTTATGAGTTTTTATCCTACCTAAAACCCTAAGCGAGCAAGTAATCAGAGCATTATATTCGTCAAATGATATAGATGGATATTCGCTTCATTGTCTGCAGATGGATACCTATCTATCTTTTGGAATAATATCATCAGTGATAAAAATTAAAGCAAAGAGTCTAAGGTGTTTCAGTGCTTATACAGTGAGTCCGAGTGGAGAAATTGACACTAGGAAGGTAGAAGCAGAAGGGTGATTGGCAATGGCATAACAAAAAAACTGACACATGCACTTGAAGCTGAAATACTGAAAAGATTATACTGCAGACAAGAAAGGGTATCAAATGCTGCATGTGCCTCTAACTTTAATTTTTAAGTGCATATTTCCCTGGGAAAGGGGAAAACCGCCGAAAGCTTTTAATGAAGATATACTCATGCGAGTGCCTTGCCTATCTTTCACTTATTATTCTTTCAGTACAACCTTCATATGAACCCAATTCAA